TAATCTTGTATGTCTTTCATGCACGCTCAAAACGCAACTCTACTTTTCATATTCGAATTATATACTTATATTATTTATACTTTGTTACATGTAGTTCAATTCAAAAAAGGCGTATAACTCAAGCCGAACTTGATGAGGTACGGGATGAATGGGTCGGGTTGCGAACTACGTTTAGTTTGGATTAGATAGTAAATATAGTTTTATCATTTTAGCCTTTTAATATGTAAAACCTTGAACCATTTATATGTTATTTCAATATGCATTGGTTGTATTTGTGAGCTACTCAACACTTCTTAATATTGCTTACTTAATGAATGAGATATTATAGAAGGATTGACGACGTATGTTGTGGTTGTTTAATTGCTGAATTCTATTGAACATGTGTATTAGAATTTCTACTGATTCTGTTGGTGGTGTGCTGAGATTGTGTTTGTGATGTGCTAATACAAGTCTTTTAATTATTAATTTATTTTGTACGATTGTTATTTTTGTTTCAGGTTTTTTAAAAAACAATGTCAGTTTAGAACTGCCATTGTAACCAACTAACATTGTAATTGTGAACGAAAACGATGTCAGTTATAGACGAACGATGTCGGATTTATTAATGTCGGTAATTAACTGACATTATATAAACAATCAATGTCGGTCTGTAACTGACATTATGGACCAACCGACATCGTAGGCTACAATGTCACCCCGGTTCATGTCAGTTGGTAACTGACATTGATATAACAGACATCGCAAATCATTAATGTTGGTTTTATTGATGTCAGTTAGGAACCGACATTGTTTGAGAAACGACATTGTACCATACGATAACACCCGGGTTAATGTCGGTTTGGAAACCGACATCTAATATGTATGATGTCAGTTGACAACTGACATTATAGGCCAATTTTGTAGTAGTGTAACTATGTTTCTTGTGTCTCATTTTTTTGGGAACATTCTCAAAATTGTATAGAAATTTTGAAAACAACAGAAACAAACTTCTTCTTTTTGTTCCCATTTCCCATTTGTTCTAGAACATAAATAAATAAAAAAAAATTGTTTGATCATACCTGAATTCATGAATGTTGGGCCATGAAATTGATTTTTCTTTATTAAAAAATGAAGAAACAGAAACATTAAAAAATAAGCCTTCAGTAACCACACCTAATAAGAACAATTTGTTTCTAACGGTTGTTCAAAATGAAAGTATATTAAAAAGTAAAAATTACATTGAAGGTACATATTATCAATATTCACGGGCTTCCTGCTTACATTAAATCATTATTAAGTAATTGTTAAGTCCTTAGCTTCATTGATCTTCTTGAGATGTTTGTATGAATTTTTTAGACTCTGATATCAATTAACAAATAAAAGTAGTATCTCACTTATATTATAAATTTTTAGTTAGTTTCCTTGTTTTTCAACGTAGGATATTTTAAGGCAGATTGTAACCCCTGGAAAAAAGAAAAAAAAAAAAGAAGCAAAGATTGTAACAGTGGGTCAAATCTTAGGTTGAACTGAATGAAATTGAATGTATGGGAGAAGGACAAGTAATTTGGAAAATATTTAATAAGGAATAATAACATGTGGCAGTTCATCCCTCTGGATTTGGCAAAAAGGAACTTCACTGCCACGCTTAAGTTTCTAAATTGTGTTGGCTAAGTAATATCCAAATATGGCTCCAAACATCCTCTTGTTAGTACACCTGATGCCACCTTTTTTCTTTCTGCCCTGCCTCACACACAACTTCAAATTCACTTAAAAAAAAAAACTTAAACCCTCTCTCTCTCTCTCTCTCTCTAAAGTACAATCCCAACTTGTTTTTAAGCTCCTCCAGCTGTGTCTCTTCACAAGTTTGGCCATGGATGGAGCTTTGTTGAGCAGTGGGAAGGTGAAGGAGAAATGGGATTGTGTACAGGAACAAACTTTATGTGATGATCATCAGTTCCCATGGCCTGCAAAAAACTATGCTTGTAATTTTTGCAGGAGAGAATTCAAGTCTGCTCAGGCCCTTGGTGGCCACATGAATGTCCATAGGAGGGACAGGGCAAGATTGAGACTTTTGCCCTCTTGGGTGCCTGAAAATTCTTGCCCTAACCCTAATTTCTATTCTCCACACCCCACTTTCTTCAGCTCAACTTCTTCCTCAGGCCCCCAAACTCACCAAGATCACCGCTTGTGTTTCACCAACCAAAAACATCATGATGACGATCAAGAAGTTCAAGTTGTGAAGAAGAAGATCAAGAAAAGTTTGGTCAATTTAGAACTCAAGATGGGCATTCATCATTTGGAAGGTTCAAATGAGGATGGCCTCGATTTGGAGCTTCGTCTTTAGTTTGATTTGATGAACAAGTATTTTAATTTGTAAGCAGTTTGAATTTTGTGGGAACTTTTGGCCCATTTGGTTTGGCACACTGTTATTTCAGCTCAGTGATTATTCATCACCTGTGGTTTTTTTTTTTTTTCTCTCTTCTTTTGACTCTAGAATGGAAAATATTTTGCAGTTTTTCTCTTTGATTTTCTCTCCCTTGTTTCTCAGAAAACAAAGAAATCATTCATCTGTGATCTTCTGTTCCTATTTGGGCTCATAATTTCAACAGTACAATTTGCATGTGACTAATTGTATTATTTTTTGCATTTTTACTCCACTTTCATTTTCTTTTAATGTGCTCTCATATATATTGTGCCATGCTTCACTGTGTCTCAAGATATATACATCCAAACCCTAGAGATGTTTTTCTTCCTTTTCTTCTGGGGTCAGGTTTAAGATGTGAGATATATACACAATTGCACTTTCTCATATACATCACGATCTTACACTTATTTTTGAGATGATCCTATAATTTTAGGCTCTTTTATAATTACGATATTTGTATCATTTCTCTCCATTAGAGCGCTTTTATTTAGCCTTTCAATGAAATGATATCTTTTCCAAAAGCAAAATATGTGTTAGAATTAGAATTAGAAGATGAAAGGGCAGAATAATTCATGATTGAAGCACGTATAAAAGAGATCAAAAGAGTACTAGATTTGAGATTTAAAGAGATATATTATCTTTTTTGATTGTTCTGATCTCACAAATTAAAATACACAACACCCACTATTTTTTCTTTTCATGGACAAAATTAGTAACATCAGGGAGAGTGAGAAAGTGCATAATATTCTTGGTGTGACTCTCAGTTTTCTTCCCATTTTTGTGGATTAAATATAAGGGATTTGATAATGTTCTGATCAAACGACACTTTATTTGAAACTCCAATATTTCGTCACATCTTAAGCCTATATTTATATACGGTAGATTTATATTTCGTCACATTTTTATATGCTGTAATTTCTCTTAATTTGAGTACTTTCATCTAACCTTTCCTTTCCTTTTGTGACTTTTGTATGCTTCTCCCATACCTTCTAATATATTAAATATATATATATATAGTAAACTTGGTTCCTGTATAAGGGTATGGAATTAGAAAATCCTAAACCTCTCATAAATAAATTTAATTACCTATCAAATCTAAGTTCGGAGAGAACTGAATCTCTTAGCCAAACCCATAGAAATTAAGTGATCAAAATACATATTTATTCAACTTTCTCATTTTCTTCTCCTCTAGGTCTTTATTTTTACCACTTACTATTAACTTTTTGGACGACCCGATTCATTTATTTGAAATTAACAGAGAGTTTGATTAATTCAAATTAACTTCTGATAAAGGATGGATTTTTACCCTAATCTGAGTGACTATATAGCAACATGAATCTGGGTTTGGTTGATTGGACCATATATTATAGGAAAAAAGAATTAGAATGAAAATTTTCAGGCATATAAAGATTGAGAGATCGTGGCTAGAATTGAGACAAAACATTAATGGTCACATGATCATATGTCCTAAAAATGAAAGGAAAAGAAAGAAAGAAAATAAAGGAACACAATTTCCCATTCCCTTCCATTTTAAAGGGGACTTGCTGTTGCCTCATTAGTAGCCTGTGGGGGACAATTATCATCCCTGGGAGAAGGACAAATTGAGTCAGCCACTAGTTCAGTTTTGGTAAACAAAAAAAAAAGGAAGATCCTTATTCTTTGAAAAAATAAATATAGTTTTTCTTTTAATCTTTTTCCCCTCTCAAAACCAGATTTCTAGCTGGATGGAGAAGGAGATGAATGAGAACTCCAAATGTTGATAAAGGATAAAAATTTTAAAGCGTGAAAACCGAGTTGTATATTTTACATTTAAGTAGTCACCCAATTTAGTACTGCTCTCGTCCAAGCACGCTTAACTGCGGAGTTCTGATGGGATCCGATGCATTAATGCTGGTATGATCTCATTCGGGTGTGTGTTATTGATTTGGTTCCTAGAAAAGCCTTGAAGTGGTCCAATCTAAGATTCCTCCAAATCAAGATGATTAGATCATCGAAAATGAAGGTGTATTGTGGTGTATTGTGTTGGTTTAAGTAGTTAGTATGGATATTATTATTATAATTATTTTTTAACATCACACCCTTCATTCAAAAACTACGTGAGAAATATACAATAAGAAAAGGTTGGATAAAACCATGTACTCCACTTACGAGAGATAGTGACAATAATGTCATTCATAACCAAAAAAAACGTCGATTTAGAGATGGCCAAGAGGAAGCTGTAGGTACAATATCATCCCAAAGGAGAGCTATTGTTCTTGACATATGAGAGAAAAGGCGATTGTTTCTCTCCAACCATAGATGAAATGGAGCTGAACCTTTCTAATTGGGTTGCCTTTATCTAATCAACTTTGTCTGATATGTTTCTCACATACTCGTTAATGAAATGGTACCACTTTTCTAAAAAAAAAAAGATATGGAGTTGAATGTATTACACCATAGCACATTTCTACTACTGGCTGAGAGGAGAATGTTAATACGTTTCGACATAAAAACGTCAAAATCCTGGCTGGGAGTGCAATGGAGATTTTAAAAGTGTCCAACAAGACAATTCCATAGAGAGTAGACTATGAACAGTGAAGGAATAAATTATCGGAAGATTCACTATTTTAAAAGCTTACTATTAATTTTTTTAAACCTTTCTTAATCATGTTAGTGTAATATATCAAGTTTCTTCTCATACGGATACGGTCTCAGTTCATTTTCCTCTACTCCAGATCTCACATATATAATGTATTGGTTTGGGCAATGATTCGAAGTGGGAGTGTGAAAACTATTATAAGGTTTGATTTTGGTTTTGGCAGTGTGATTATTGTATTGTATTCCATTGCATGTTCCCCACAAAATGTTTGGTGTCAGGCAGAATACATGATGGCCTTTCCTAACTTGGAAACACATAATTTGGTAAAAGTCGAAACCAAAAACAGGAAAAACAAAAACCACACCTCTCTCTCTCTCTCTGTATTAATTTAATTACACCAAAAAAAAAACAAAAACTGCCAATAAGATAAGAATTGTGCGGTTTTGAGCTTTGGAAAATGAGGCCATAAGGCAAACAAAACAATGGCATTTGAAAAAAGAAACTGATTGAGCTTTTTGGAGGCCGGGGTTTCTCTGCAAAATGTGACTGTTTTGGTGAAAGATAAGGGCATGGGTTAAAGTTACCCCTAGTCGGCGCACGTCACTTTCCTCTCCCTAAATTTTCCATCTTTCCAAATTTTATATCATATCCCATATTCTCTATTTTCAGCTTAATTAACCACATACCAACTCATTTGGTCCAAAAATGGAATCCGACCAAAATTAATGAACTATAAGAGTCACGATCTTGAGGGAACATGGGTTAAGGATTCCACGTCGAAAAGAAGCACGTCGAAAAGAAGAGAAGCTGCTTAATCATCTCTGGGAAGACATAAGAGCTGAAGCTTCTTCATAATTTTTTTTAGTACAGCACATGGGGTTGGGATCGAACTCATAACCTCTTAATTGAAGGTATATGTTAATTACCGCTGAGCTATGTTCGCTTTGACAATTAGACAAAGTTAATCATAAATACTTATTTCATCGAAAACTTTATACTTTAACGATCAAACTTTGTTGATTTCTTCCCGCTAATGTGCAATTGAGACTATGGTTGTATCCCCAACATTAGGTTGCTTTTAATGGATGGGCATGCATAATGGATTATGATGATTTGGAGGTGGAATGCAATTGCAAATGGGGAGTTTTGGGAGAGGCTAATTAAGAAAACTAAATGTGGAGAAACAAATTAAAGTAGAATTTGATAGAGATTATGGGTGTTGAGGAAAGATTCTTTCAAGTATATATGGAATTGTTTTGGATTTAATTAATTAATTGCAATCTTTAAGCATGAGTTTCTCTTTTGGCTAACCTCAAATTCCATTGGGCTTCCATTACCGATCCTGTTTACAAATTAACATCCAAATTAAGAATTTAAGCTAGGAATGTTGAACTTTGGAAGAAAGAGAATATATTGATCATAATGTACTAAGAATTAATTAAGAATGATCAGAAAACTAATCTTAATTTAGATGTGTAAAATCAACATGATTAGATTAAAGCATATTATTATTAAGGGTTTAAAAATCAAGATCATTGATTACGACATACCTAAATTGGAGCCAAGCATTGAGGTCATTATAGCCGGTCGGGTCATTTTGTCAAACAAGTTGGCTTTTAATTTATAATAAAAACTTTATATTATATATACTCTGTAAGCTAAAGCTTAACGGGAAGAAAATGACAAATAATTAAAATTACATATGATATAATAAAAGGAATTAATTTGAGGAGAAAATATATAAAATGGAATAAGCTTGTGCTTTCAATCAAAAACAAAAACCAGACGACAGTGACTAGATTGTTGTAGAGTTTGCAGCACTTGCGTTCTTGTCATTAGGGTTGCTGCCAATTATTCTTTTGCAATTTTCTTGTAGACTCAGTCAAATTTTTATTATTAATTAAGCGTTATTGCTTGACCATAATCAAATTATATAGTTTAATAAATATGGCAGTATTTCTTTTTAATTTGTGTTCTGCTCATCTGATAGTTTTATAATTACTGAAAATGTTTTCGGTATAAATAGAAAGATTTTTCCTACTTATATTAAAAATCAAAATGGTCGCTTTCTTGACAGAGAGACCATTTTTCACATGCATATGAAAGAATTATTTTTAGAAGTCATAGTTTTATTGTGGAAGTAATGTGTAGTAGTTGCATATGCTTTAAATTTTTCTTTCTTTTGTCACGTATTCATATAAATACTAAGAAGAAAAGAATGTTTTGGATGTCATAAAAATATTTGCATTACTACTTGGGGATGAAATTAGAGTTGGGGCCCCGTTACGTGAGGAAATCGAATTAAAGTTTTTGAGTATTTACTAAATTGTAGAAATAGAAT